AGTCGCCTGGCAACAGCATGAAAAAGCAGCTGCCTGATTGTGCAAAACCTAAACCAATAGCAAGCCGCAAGGCTCTGTCCTCCACTGGCACCGACTCATGCTCATTGGGGGCTACCTCCGTTTGCTCATCCTAGCGCAGACACCGCGAAGCAACTAAAACAAACGGGGCTGCTGCCGAACCGTTGCAGTCCCGGAAGGGCTGCTCAGCTGGAGCCACCAAAGCATCCTGCAGCAGGAGCTCTTCCTGGGCCTGGCGGACAGGAAAACCTGAACCAATGGCAAGCTGCAAGGCTCTGTCCTCCACTGGCACCGACTCATGCTCATTGGGGGCTACCTCCGTTTGCTCATCCTAGCGCAGACACCGCAAAGCAGCTAAAACAAACGGGGCTGCCGAACCGTTGCAGGCAATCCTGGAAGGGCTGCTCAGCTGGAGCCACCAAAGCATCCTGCAGCAGGAGCTCTTCCTGGGACTGGCGGACAGGAAAACCTGAACCAATGGCACGCTGCTCCACTGGCACCGACTCATGCTCATTGGGGGCTACCTCCGTTTGTTCATCCTAGCGCGGACACCGCGGCAAAGCGGCAAGCACAAACGGAAAGCAAGAAGCCTGCACGAGCTCTTGCCCATCAAGAACCTCAGGCGGCGCCAAAGGCTCCTTGTCCTGTGGCTCCTGCCACATGACGACAGCATGAAGCCGCTTTGTGCGCGCTCTGATGCGCTCTCATGGTAAGTTAGTCACGAGTCCTGCGGCACCTGCTCCCCCAAGGCTGGCACACAAGGAATGAGCCCCGCATCCTGGTGCGCGCAGCCAAAATTGACCTTGCAACCCGGGACCACTAAGAAACGGCCTTGTCATGGCCTGCGGCAGGTGCAAAAAGTGGTGCGTCCGTCTCTGCTGCTGCTCTTTCCTGCGTGGGCACAGCAGAATGCTGCGCACAACCTGTCACTTGCGTTTCGCAGCAGCTTGGGCTGCTGGATTCACTACCTCATCGCCGCCACCACCACCACCACCACCACCGAACAAAACGGCAAAACAAACAACAACTGCCCCGAAGCCAGCACCCGCAGCCACAACGACAGAACCAACTAATTAACACGAACGCAGCAAGGACGGCAGCAGCAGCAACGACAGCAACAACAACGGCAACGAACAACGACAAGAACAACGACCACAGCAACAGAAACAGCAACCTTGCAAGCCGAGCAGCTGGAGCTTCTGCTTGCCGTTGTCCGTGAGCATGAAGGACCTGGGCGGGCAAGACGAAAGCGACGAACGGCGGGGAAACCAGCACACGCATCCCAAAAAAAAGGCAGCCAGCAAGCCCAAAAGCACCAACAAAAGCACCACCACCACCACCACCACCGCCGCCACCAACAGCAACACCCCGACGCGAAACAGCCCGCGCGAAGCCAAGCAGCTGGAGCGTCTGCTTCACCTCGTGGATGAACATGAAGGACCTGAGAAAGGACAAGGTGGGGCCAAGCGAAGAGGAACAGCAAACAAAACCAAAACCAAAACAATCCCCAGAGCCACCACCACCACCACCACCACCACCAACAAGTCCCTACTCTCTGCGCTGATCAGCTCAATTGCTCCCCATTGGCTCCTGAACCTTGGCTTTCTTCTGCGAGGTGGTGGAATCTGCAGGATCATGGTGTTTCCTGACCTTTCCACACGAGAGACAAGATTCAAATTCAAGGTGGGCTCCGCATGCCTTCGACGTCTTGCTGCACATGGACTTCAGCTTTGTGATGTCGCTCTCACCGGACTGTTCCAGGAGTGCGCGGAGCTCTTCTACCTCCTGCAAGCTTTTCCGAGAGGCCAGGCGTGCTCCACGGCTACCTTTGGCATTCACCTAGGAAAGCAACATCATGTTGCTCTGAAAAGGAGTCACTACCTGCTGCAATAGAGTTGCCGTGCTCAGGACATAGGAGTCGCTGAAGCTGCCGTAGCGGGTCTCCGTCCAAATCGTGAACTCCATGGCTGCAACAAAGACTGCACTGCACCAAGCCAAAATGCTCTCGGCTTCAGCTCACTGCAAGCACCCGTGAACTTTCACGAAAGACAAAAGCTTCGTTTTTAGGAAACACCTTCGTTTTACAAGGCTTCGGACACTATTCCATCCGAATACATGTCCTTGAGGCCGAGTGTTCTGGGACTAGCTCAAATGCTGGGCATGGGCGTGAGCGTGCCGTTGCGGGCCGCGTGCAAGAGCATGAAGCCAAGCTAGCGTGCCGTTTCGGGCCGCGAGCAGCGAGCGTGCCGTGTCGGGCCGCGTGCCAGGATAAAGACCCGGCAAAAGTATCCAAGCAGCATGAAGAAAAACAGACAGGGTGCTGCGTGCGCTGCGAGCGTGCCGCTTCGGGCCGCACGCTAGGACTAGGATAAGGAAAACAAACGCTCCCGTGCGGAGGAAACAAATTGCGGGGCATAAAGTTAAGTGGGCGGAGTGCGTGGGGCGAGCCGGAAAAAACTATCCGTGCGCAGGGAGAACCGGCAAAAGTACCCAAGCAGCATGAAGGAAAACAAAAGCTCCCGGGCGGCGGAAAAAACTGCTGGGCATAAAGTTAAGCGGTGGGGCCAGCCGCAGAAAAACTATCGCGCTGCGAGCGTCCCGAAGCCGAGCTAGCGTGCCGCTTCGGGGCCGCGGGCAGCGGGCGTGCCGTTTCGGTCCGCGCACTAGGATAAGAAAAACAAAAGCCGTGCGGGGAAAAAACTGCTGGGCATAAACTCAAGTGGGCGGAGCGCGTGGGGCCAGCCGGGAAAAAAACTATCGCGCTGCGAGCGTGCCGTTTCGGGCCGCGCGCAAGAGCGCGTAGCCAAGGTAACGTGCCGTTTCGGGCCGCGGGCAGCGGGCGTGCCGTTTCGGGCCGCGAGCATGGATCAGAAAAACAAAAGTTCCCGCGCGGCGGGCAAAAAACTGCTGAGCATAGAGTTAAGTGGGCGGAGCGTGTGGGGCCAGCCGGAAAGAAAGTATCGCGCCGCGAGCGTGCCGTTTCGATCTGCGCGCAAGAGCGCAAAGCCGAGCTAGCGTGCCGCTCCGGGCCGCGGGCAGCGGGCGTGCCGTTTCGGGCGAGTTTCGGGCCAGCAGTGCAACGGGTCAGTGTCAGAAACAGTTTGGCCATCGCACGACAGCAGCCTGGCACGCTGTTGTGGGCGGTTGCAAAGTTTCATGTTCTGTTCGGCACGGACGGCGAGCCTTCCTTGCGTCACTGTCAGGTGATCTTCCAGTTTCCGGCTGTGGACGGAGATATCGAGCCGTTTGCTCGCCGTCGGGCGTGGCAGGTTTCCTTGGGCTCCCAGACCAGCCTTGAGCTCAAGCGCCAGGAAGACGCCGTGGCAATGACTCCGTTGACTAAGGTTGTGCTTGATGACGCGCGTGCCGTTTCGGGCCGCGTGTTCGTGTCGGCGCGTGCCGCGTTGGGCCGCGCGCTTGCCCACGCGCCGCGTCGGGCCGCGTGCTCGCGCGGACTGCTGCACCGCTGAAGAAGCCGAAGAGAAAAGCCTAGCTTTTGCGCTTGACACGCGTGCCGTTTCGGGCCGCCTGCTCCAGCCCAGACTACAGCGCGGCTTGAGCAGACGCAAAGAAAAGGCGCTCTCGGGGAGGGACGAGAGTTGAACTTGAAGCGCTCGTTGGGAGCTTTGGAAAAGGGAACAGAAAAAACAGCTGAAAGCAGCACACAAAACCAAAAGAGAGAAAGACAGAGAGAACAAAGAGAACAGAGAGAGAGAGAAGAGAGAGAGAGAGAGAGAGAGAGAGAGAGAGAGAGAGAGAGAGAGAGAGAGAGAGAAAAAGAAAGAAAGAAAGAAAGAAAGAAAGAAAGAAAGAAAGAAAGAAAGAAAGAAAGAAAGAAAGAAAGAAAGACAGCAAGAAAGACAGAGAGAGAGAGAGAGAGAAGCAGGCCAAGAACAGTTCTCCAAACTATAGTTGTTCACTGCTGTGAAACTTCCGCCCCCCGGCTCTGCCGGACCTTACTGGACAATGGTCCCCAAACTAAAAGTGGCCGACGCCCCCAACATCCCCAGCGTTTTAGTGAAGGACATGTTTTTCCACTTACGAACGGCCACGGTTCCGAAGCTTGACATGCTCAACAGCCTTGACAAAATGAATTAGGGAAATTGCACTTTTCGACCGCGACGTGACTCGGTCTGCTTTTGACGGCCTTCATGGTTGACAAAAACGGCCAACCCCCCCAAGCATCATCAGCGTGATAGTGTTTTAGTGAAGACAAACAATATCACTCAAAGAAGACGTCGCTCTCGTGTGTTGTCAAAAGTGGTCGACGCCACCAGCACCATCAGTGTTTGTGTAACTTGTTCCGCTTGCTCAAGTACATATCGCCTTCCATAGAGTAAAGTGGTTGGGTTGACCCCCCCCCAGCATCAAGCCATGCCAATCAGCATCATCCAATGGCCCTTCTCAGCCCGTTTCAATTGCTGTCTTGATCGTAACGCGAGGGCCAAAACATGCTTCAGCTGCCGTAGACAAGACTGCTGCTTTAGCGCCGCGTGATTCAATAGCCAGAGCAATTTCGCAACGAGTCCAAATTGCCTAGCATCTCTGGCGCGCAACACACAATGTTCTATTTTGGCGCGCATCCTACGCTGCAGTCTCCACCCACTGAAGCACGCCAAACCTTGCTGGACAAGAGGTGGCGAAACACAGACACTCAGACCGGAGACTGCGTGTGTGGGGATCGTGTCTGGTTGTCTGGCACGGCCCCGCGCAGACGCGCTGACCAGGCCCTCGCAAACCTCCCAGGCGTGCGTCGACCCGGATGACTGTATGGAGCTACTACCTCCTAGCTTTGGCATACGAAGCTGTGCCAATCTTGCCAGCGTACGACAAATAGTTTATGTTTCCTCAAGATAGAACTCGTGCAAACAATTGTTACACACCATGGTTTTCCCCTATACTAATCCGCCAAAGGGAAGTTCCCACGCAGGGAACGCCAGTTTTGCAAATTTGCATCTGCGTCCCAACTGCGACTGGACTGCCTCGGGATAGGTCATAGAGGTGGAGAACCACCGGCCTCTGGCCACACCCGATGGCTGCGCCCCCCGAAACACTTGGGAACCAAAGGTTGAACTTTAGGGGCAACGATGAACCATGGATCAAATACTGGAAAGCTGCAAGCAGGTAGCAAGGACGACTTCCAAAACTGAGCACCTCCAAACAACCTGGCAGCATCCAAGCAAACTTCGTTCAAGATGTGGGAACCGCGGGCCGACGGAAGCCTTTCGATGCCCAGGAAAGGGTGGTTGTCACGGAGAGCCTTTAGCGAGGCTGGTGCTATACCTGCCTTGATTGAGCTGAGGATTAGGGAGACTTGTCTCTTGGTGAGATGGACTACTGTCTCCGCTCATGTCGTGGGACCTGGATACACAGGTCTAATGTCAAGACTCCAGCGCCGCTCACTGTTCTCTGCAGAACGACCTAGTGTCAGACAAGCTCCAGTCCAAGCGAACCGGGGAGTAACACAGCGCAGCATGCCACCACCAACACCATCAGCGGATGCGGGTTCTAGCCTTTCGAGCAGGCACAGATCCCGCCGCAGCGCGCGTGCTTCTTTACAGTACCTGCCCACACAAACGATTTCAGCTCCAGATGAACGCTGCCACCGCTTCGCGCACGTCTGCACCTCGCTCTCCTCAAGTGCTCCGTGCAAGTTCCTCTGCGCAAGTTACGATTTTGCGCTGAAATGCGCTTCGCGTACTGCTTTTGTACTGAAAGGTTGCAACTTTCCAGCCGGAGCTGCGGTTGTACTTAAAAGCTGCGAGTTTCCCGCGGGCCGCGACCACGCGATTACAAGAGCAGTTGCACGCACCGCGAGCCAACTTCCAAGGACCAGCTCGCCAGCAGCGAAAGTAACAGTTTATTGACGTCGGCCACGCCGATCCCCAACCAGCCCGCGCCAAAATAAAAGAATCTTACCGAGCAACTATTCGATACATAGCTACTGACGCCGGGCCTCTATGCTAGCTCTCTAGCCAAGAACTTGACCTAAGCTACCACGCCCAGACTATACTCACACTACTCATGCCCAGAGCTATCGTGCCCAGACTATACCCAGACTGCTCGCCTTTATGCAGATGGCAAGTTGCTCTGTGCAAGTAGCTCTGTGCAAATTGTTGCTCTGTGAAAGTTGGTCTGTGCAAGTTGCTCAGTGCAAGTTGGTCCCACAGAAGTGCCCTTCGCGATGCTTTCGGAAAAAAAGCCCAAGAAGGACTGCTATTCTCATGTGCTCACAGAGGGAATCATTTGACCAACTGGCACCGTTTTGATTTATTTGACGTTGGAAATGTTGTCTTCTCAAAATGCCATCCGCCATATAGACGAGCTGTGGAACTCACAACTCGCAAAAAACCAGGTCACATGCAAACCTGGCCAAAGCCGTTTCCCTTACTGAGTATAAACCACTACAGTGCGACGTGGATCAGGCAAACGTCAACTCACCAAGCCCTCTCCCTCATTTCCGTGGGAGTGATTCATCTGAATTATAGAATTCATCACCCTGAAGCAGGTGATCGCCAACACTTCGTGGGTGGAGCCCAAAAGCCTATGCTCACAAAAAACACTTGAGGCACCGCGCCATTCCTGCCGGCCAAGGCAAAGGGCCAAGAAGTCCGCAGACGAGACAGGAGTGAGCCCTCAGAAGCCAACGCGGCTCAAAGAAAAGGTTGTGTCTTCCAAAGCATTCTGCATTGGACGTCACTTTTGGTAAGTCGAGACGGCGGTAGAAATGAAACCTGCTTGCCAGAAACAGCCTTAATTTCAGAACGCAAACGGCTTCTTTGTCGGGCGATTAGGGGAAGAAACTAGTCCTGGCCGCATCGCATTGAGTTTTTCAGAAGGCTCAGCCTTTGCCAAACACCGACTGTTGCATGTCAAATTGACCTGGTCCGGAAATATGGGGCTCTCCAAATATTTCGAACACCCTATGTTGGAGCTTCGGTTTCCCCTCAGTTTCCCTTCAAAAAACCCAAGCAGCAAGAAGGTGACCAACTCCAACCTTCGTTCTAAGGCTCCAGCTATCCAGCTCCATGGCTGTGATGGTCTGCTGCACAAACCTCAGCTGACAAAACATCCTCGTTCACCCTTGGCCAGGCAAACGCACCATGCAAAATGTCAATCTTCTACATGAAGAACATGGTTCCAATCAACACTCAGCAGGCATCCCCCCATGACTTGCCCAACACCCATTTCTGAGATGCTTAATTTTGTGAGTGTGCCGAATGTTATTCCTTTTGCAATGGGCCCCCAAAGGGTCCCAAAAGTTAAACGGGGGCTCTACGAACATCCTCCCCAAACCCATACAAGCCCACTCACTAGTAGTCGTGCACACATTGGCAGGGATCAATGCTTCTTCCACTGCATGGCTTTGTGCTACTACGACAATGGGCAACCAAGGACAACTCAGCAAAAGCTCTAGCTGTTGATCCTGATTTGTCTTCCTTTTCTTGAGGGGACGACCAACCCTGGAATCAAAATCGCACCATTGGCAAAACGATGCGTGCCCTATCCCGCCACGTGAGCAGCAGCATCAATTCAGGCGCTGGCTCGTCAGGGTTGGTGTATGCGAAGTCAGTGCGTCCTTGGGGAACTAACTGGCGGCAATCTGACGCACAAAAGGCGCGGGTGGCGGGACAATCCCGTTGAGAATGGCAAACGACCACCCACAACAACAAACGCAGTTCTTGCGGTTTCTGCCCGACTCCTCGCGCACAGCAGTTGGTGTACAGCAGCTCCTTTTGGGGTCAGTAGTCTACTCTACTGAGCATTTTGTGGTGAAACACAAGAGCACCAAAGCACCAACACCCGACTTGGGGGGGCCACTTCTATCAAGGACAGCTCTGTCATCATTTGTGAGCTTCTTCAAACGCAGCTGTTGGGAGCCATTTGTGTGGGCATGTAGGCGTAGGCAACGAGACTGTCTCAGGGGTCAGAAGCGCAGCATTGCAGGGGGACAAGTGATGCCACGTCTCCCGTACGGCGTTGACACAGTGCAGCTCGCAGGTCCGATTCCTATGTCTTCCGAAATGGAAATCTGGGTTCGAGCGTACACCGTCTAAGTTGCCGTGGTGGCTGAAAGCAAATTGCTTCTACAAGCTTGACTTTCACCGTTGTTCTCGACTTCAGGATTTTAACATACCTTTTCCGTGGCCATTTCAACTGGGGATTCACCCGCCTAATCAACCATGTCAAGCCACATTGGTTCAACTCATGGTTGGGCCATGCCTTGCTCCACTGTGGGCTCGGGCCGCCGGGCGCTTGCTGGGGCCATCAAACTTAGGGCGCAGGTGCCACAACTTCCGGGTGAACAGCTCCAGGATCTCCTGAGTCCCATGCAAAGCAACTGTCCGGCGTGGCCGGGTAGTAAGGAATCTACCCAAACCCCATGGTGAAGAATCAACAACAAGGTTGTCTTGCTGGTGGGACTGCCCCTTTCCACCCTTCATCTGCTCAGGGTTTGATGGTGGCTCGCTTCGGGTGAGCTGAATGGGCTATCCTGCAGATGGGAGCAAAACAGCAGTCTCTTGTCATTCAAAATGGGAGGCTTGCTGGTTTCGCGTTTCTCTGAGGGAAGTAAGCAGCCGCTGTTGAAACGGCCTTACCTGGTTTTGAAAGTGAATGAGGAAACAACAGTTGTTGACGGGTATGCACAAAACACAGCCAGACAGCTCGTGAGCCACGGACAACTCGCATTTGACTTGCCCCATGGGTTGAACGATTTGCATCCAACTTGCAAGTTGGGTCACCTATTAGTTTCGTTGGGATTCTTTTGGAAGCTTGGCGCTGCAGGAAGGTCTGGGTTTAGCAGAGTTCCAGCTTTTAGCTCAACAAGTGCACATTCGCCACGTTGCCTTCCAAGGCTGTTTGCCTGCCCTTTTGTGACAATTAAATTCGGATGGTGATCCCAATGCGTCAAGTTTCCAAGCATTACGAACTCAAGTTCTCAAAGCTGTCAATGCGCACTATCTGTTTTGAGGATGACCTTAGACGAATCTGCACTCCGCACGTTGGCCGGCTCAGAAGCTTGGGAAACGGCCAGGCAAGCTGCCAGCACCAGTGGCACACCGTTTTTGTTTTGCCACCCTTATTTTTCTATCAACCAAAATGGTCTAGCCGGACCCGTCGACCGGATGGATCGAATCCGGGCCTCAAGTTTCAAGACTCGGCCGTGGCCCATCTCGTCTAGGCAGTCGCTCCTTGGCCAACGGGTCGGCTCGGTTTCGTTGGCAAAGTTTGGAAGCGTGATGTCTTTTGCCTGTTTCACACCGCGCTGTGGCAACACTAGGGACCATTTATTGGGGCGGCTTCCAGGAGAAGACACGAGGAAGCCAATCATCTGGCACCGACTTGCAGGAGAGATTCCTTGGACGGGTGCGGCCTGATCTGAGCGGCACGCAACGCACGCAATCGCCTGCCATGTGGGCCAGCTTCAAAAGCGCGCTCTTGCAGGCCGCTCTTGCGGATGCAGTTTTTGGAGCAGGCGATCCCTCCAAGTGCTGCGCCTGCCACGAAGCCCAGCTCGAAAAGCGCGCGCTTAAAGTGTTCGCGTTCCAGTTTGATAAGTAGCAATTTAGGGGAATTCATCACACCCGCCCATTTTGCGTGGGCACATAGCTGCGTCCTGATTTGCTTGCGGGGGTAGGGGGGGCGAGGGGTGTGTAGGTTTCGAAGCGGTTCACCTTCCTGCAATCCATGTGAAGTACGTATTCCATTGCCACATTTGGGCTCAAGTTGTGCGAATCATAGTATTCACGCCGTCAGGTTCTTGTCTTGAAACAGACGGGCCATTGAGGCTGTAGTTTCTTCTCCTCGGGATTAGTTGCCCTCGGCTCGGGACTCATCGTGGTAGCGGAGCGGGTTTTCAGACAAGAGCCAAGAAGATGCAGGCTGTCCTATTGGCAGGGCAGAGCGTGCGACGGGGTAAGGGACGCAGTAACAGTTCTCAACACTGCTCGAATAAATTCATGGTTGCTTCTCGCTTAGAGCCCAGGCCAAAGCCCAACACACGTTTGCAACTACTCTTTCGCGAAACAACTAAGTCCAGTGAGCATTATTCTAGACTCTGTCGCCTTATCCATCTCATTGCACCACAGGACCGCCTAGAGGGCGGCCTGTTTGTTTAAAGCAGCAAAGAGCTTAGCTCACAGGAGACACACCGTGAAAATGTTGGGCCCATTCTGATCATGCTTGTGATCAAATCACGCTTGTTTACTCAACGTGTTCCAAGTTGGAAAGATTACGCCTTCCTGCAAACAAAGCTTCCGCCACAGAACGGTCCAGAAAATAGCGCGCCAGTCATAAATTCCAGCTTCCACTCCGCTCTTCGGAGACCAAACTACCGCGCCTATCAACTTCCGCAACATATCAGTCCACCTGCTGCCACGTAGGCCAGTCCCCACTCCAAAGTCTCTCGCCCACAGCACCGCGCCTGCCCAGAAATTCACTTCCGCCACACATTAATCCATCTATACAACTGCGCCTGCCAAAGTCCAGCCTCCTCTGCTCAGCGCCCCTGCCAAAGTTCCGCACCTGCCAAGACATTCCGCTTCTGCCACATCGCGGTCCGTCCAGATACTGCGCCAGCAACGCCATCCAGCCTTCACGGTCCTCCCCAAGTACTTCCGCCACATATCCGCCTAAAATGCTGCGCCTGCAGCATCCAGCCGCTCGAAGCCCTGCCCAAAGTACCGGCTACATGCGCGCTACGCACTCTGCGAGAGAATCGCAGGCCTGGATGCATTTCGGATTCATGACGCGCAAAGGATGGTGCCTTTTCCGTAGGTGGCGTAAGCCATGCACGTGAGATAATTCCATCTTGACCATGCACCGAACTAGGCGCAAATATCTCACGCCAATTGGACCGCATACAACTTTGCGAGAACAGCACCTTTCAGTCAGGCAGGTGGCGACATGCGACTTGAGCTAACAACCAGAAACCTCATGAGGCTCTATGCAAGCAGAGCTGTACTTTCAATCGTGTTCCGAACAAGTAGTCAAGCTCAGCACGCAAATCTTTGAGTGCTGTCACTTGAATTGTTCGGCTTCAGCTGATATGGTCGCAAAGTCTTGCTCAAAGAGCCGTCAAGCAGGTGTCCCTGAAGTTCAAAACTCATGCGTCCAGCGTGCATATGCATGGCCTTCCCTCTTGGCCGAAGTGCGGGATCATTGCCAATGAGAGGCCCATCTGAGGCCTACCGTGATCGATTGGAGGCCCTTTCTCTAAGGATTCTACCAGTTGTCGGCCCTCGACCAACGTAGGATTGGGAGAGCAGGTAAACTCTGCTCAGACTCCCTAACGATGCCGAGCGGCGCTGTGACCTCCGTCTCAGGGGTAACCTCCGGTGCCACCTGGTGCGTGGAACCAAGGGATTGGCTTGGAGTCAAGCTGACCTTTGCTCTTTGCTTTGTATTTTGCCAAGTCCTTTTCGCGCGGTGTCTTCGGCCCCCTTTTGCCTTCCTTTGCTTTGTTGGCGTTCACCTGCCTACTTAACTTGTTTGGCCCTGCTTGATTGGTGGGGGGCTCCAACTTCTCAAAACAGATGAGAGGCATTCGAATCTTGAAACAACTTGTTGTCTCCAGAGCTACTTGCAGTGATTGGTTAAAACCAAAGGGCTGAGAACCTCATGAGGGAAGGGCTTCACCATGATTCAATCTTGGTTCAAACATGTTTGTTGCTCATTTTGCGCCAAGCCAAGCTCATGAAGGCACGCAATGATAGATCAGAACAAGTCATATCTGGCCAGCGCAAGGCTCTTATGCCTGACCCAATTGCGCTCCAGCCCAAGTGGGGTTCACTGAACTGGCGGCTTGACCGCATACGAATCCGAACGGGGATTTGCAAATCAAACAGCTCTCGCACGCGCATGTCCATGATGCACGCGCATGCCCATGATGCACGCGCATGTGTATGATGCACGCGCATGTCCATGATGCTGCGTGCTTCAGATAATAAGTGTTCAGTAAGTCAAATGGTGGAGCCTCACGGGCAATGGCAGTCCGTATAATCCAAAACACCTATAGCCCAAGATCATCCTGTTCACGTTGAGATGTGCCATAGCAGCTGCCACGGAATGTTATCATACTCATGTTCAAGCACATCCTCGTCAGTCAAGCACCGCCATTTGGCTTTTCGTTTTGTCGGAGTGAACCCAACATGTGGATATCGTGTTGCACCACAATTCCCTTTCGAGAGACATGCTTGTGCTCGGGATACCGCGCCCTACGATGCTTTTTGGGGATCATCTATCTGGATCCTTAGGGTTGTTGATGCACATCCCCCTGTCTTGTTGGCAAAAATTCTTTGCCACACCAGACTCCGCCACGCATCAGGGAACATGACCACGCATAGTTGCCCAAATATACAAAGACTTCTTTGCCCCACCTCCCAGCAACAACATAAGCATAAATACTTACATGTAAGTCCTCCCAGCTTTCAAATGGTTGGGCATCGGAAACGCAACCGGCCTCGAAGTAACGAGGGGACGGCAGCGGATGCTCCCGGTCGAAGCCCTCGAAGGGAATGCCTCGAGTTCGGTGAAACGTCCCCGAGGTCCAACTTGTTCTGACGTCCAACTGCTTCTTGTTTAAAGCTCGGGCCCCCTTCCTGTTTTCAGATTTGCCACTCCGTGCATCTGAAAAGTCGTCCCGCCCAAGAGCTGAGATACTCCACTTGTCTAGTAGTAGTATGCATGGTGAGCATGTGGGGAAGCTTTGCCCTGTCATACGTACGCAGACCACACCCCTACATACATCGCATTGCATTGCATTGCATTGCATTGCATTGCATTGCATTGCATTGCATCACATAGCACAGCATTGCATTGCACGATTGGGGGGGCTTAGGGTTGCTTGCATTTTTGTGAATGGGTTTCGTGTGGCTTTCTTTTCGGTTCAGGGTTGATTCAGGGGGTGAAAGGGGGAGTTAGGTCGGAGTGCGGTGAGCTTAGGTTGGGTGTCAGATTTCAAGGTCAATTTTTGTTTGAGGGTGGCTGAGGGTAGGGGCTCTGGGTGCGTGAAGTTGGTCCTTTGCTTGGCCGAACCTAAAAGCAGCTCGTGCGAATCACAAACCAATCATGAAGCAATCGCCATCTCACTTCCACTGGCACCGACTGACCGACCAATCGACCAAGGTAGTCGACCGTGAGCTCCATTGCCCCTGCCACGACCCATAGCAACAAGTCGCTCCAAACTGGGTTGTTCAACATGAGATCCTTAATCCGTAATCCGTGGGACTGCAATTTGATGGCAAAGGAACTCTCAGAAACCTAAGGATTGGCTTTGAGAAACGAACCGGGCGTGCCTTCGGGATCTTCTTCCCATCCCATGGCCAGCGCCGTTGGCGTCCCCAGTCTGCCATTGAACCAAGCGACGGGTGGGTCCCCGGACTATGGTGCGAAAGAGGGGGCGGCCTGCGAAAAACAGCTTATTTTGCCAATCGCATGGCAGCTTCTAGAGAATTTACCTGGGTTTGACCATCCTTCAAGACTCTCCCGACTTTGAGGAAATTGGCAAAGCATCGCTCACGAAATCATTCCTTTGGCTTGTGGCAAGTTGCGAAACCACAGCCCTGGAAGCTCTTGCCCTATTGCCGCGGAAAACTCCCGGCAATTTTGCATACGCACGTGCTCCCAAATCTACCTGAGGCTTTGTGGATAAAGGATGGGTTGCCAATGTGACACATGATTCGCACATGAACCTCAGAATCCAAACGAAGTCCAACAAGTGAATGCTCATGCAACATTTGGCCGCATGGCGACTCGTAGGCATGGCTAAGTCGAAACAAGCGTGGGTTGGAAGATCGAGCTGTCCACTTCCATGTGGCGTGAGCGTTCCGCATTGCAATTGGATGAACCTCAGTCGCCCAAAGGACCCAGGAATAAAAGGTTAACCTTTTGGTTCCTTTACTAAAGATAGACCAAAATTGGAAAACCAAAAGGTTAAAAGGTCGGCTTTGGGCAACTGAGCAACTATCGAGGAGAATGGCCTGAGCTCCTTCTCCTGTCGTCCAATCATAGGAGGAAGCACGCGGTCCCACTTCAAAACCTTGAAATAGACATTCTAAAGCGACGTTGCTGCCCAAGCCACCATGCCACATGCAGGCATGCAGGTATGCAGGTATGTAGGTGTGCAGGTGTGCAGGTATGTAGGTATGTAGGAAACACGCAACGCAGGTAATGTATGTTATGCACGGAATGCATGTAACAAATTCATGTCGTGTAGTGTAGCCTAGCGTAGTGTAGTGTAGTGCACTGTTATGCAATGCAGCACAAAGTAATGCAATGCAATGCAATGCAACGCCATGCAATGCACTGTGACGCACTGTAGTGTAGTGTAAATGAAATGCAATGCAATGCATGTTGTATTCTGTGTTTTGCTATGTTATACTATGTGTATGAATTCAAGAATGTATTGGACATGTATTGGATGTGTATGAATTATTTTCAATTGATGATTGTATGCATTGCACATACGTACGTACGTACGTACGTGCGTGCGTGCGTACGTACGTACGCCTGCCTGCCTGCCTGCCTGCCTGCCTGCCTGCCTGCCTGCCTGCCTGCCTGCCTGCCTGCCTGCCTGCCTGCCTGCCTGCGTCTCTTTGTGTATGTGTATGTGTATGTATGTGTATGCATGCGTCTCTATACAACTGTGTTCATGACAGTTGGAACGGCTCGGGGTTCGTCAAACAACCCATCAGAAAACAAGGAGCCGATCAGCTAGGTGTCCTGAGCTTGCTGCGATTGCCAATCACAAGCCGGCAGCACTGACCTTCAGCCACCTGCCAAACGGAAGACGGGGCCAAATGTGAGCCTGTCTCCAAATGGGGAAAACCCTTATCCGCCGACCCCTGCTCCTGAAAGGGGGAGGCGCACGGGAAGGGTGCTGCGGATGCGTTGCCACGATGATAGTTCTCATCACTATTGGGGATGCAGAGGATGCTACGATGATAGTTATCATCATCATCATCATCATCATCATCATCATCCATCATCATCAGCACCACCATCATCATCATCATCATCATCATGCGTGGACATGATTAGTGATGCTGATACGTAGTCGTCACCATGTCTTTGTATAGTATACATTTCAAGTGTGGCGTTGGAGCCCATTGGTGATGCAAAAGATGCGTGGACATGATTATCATGATGATGAGATTGGAGATGCAGAGGGTGCGTAGTCATCGTTACCATCATGACTGTTGGTGATGCAGAGGATGCACGATGATGATTGTCATCGATGATGATAACAGTGATAATGACGATGCAGAGGGTGCGTAGTCATCAGTGTCATCATGATTGTTGGTGATGCAGAGGATGCATAATGATGGTTATCATCGATGATGATAACCGTGATGATGACGATGATGGGCCACGGCTATGATGAGGATCCTTATCTTTTTCCGATTCAAAAGTCCCGTTAGAGCCGATTGGAGATGCAGAGGGTGCGTAGTCATCATTAATCATGACTGTTGGTGATGCAGAGGATGCATAATGATGGTTATCATCGATGATGATAACCGTGATGATGACGATGATGAGCCACGGCTATGATGAGGATCCTTATCTTTTTCATATACGATTCAAAAGTCCCGTTAGAGCCGATTGGAGATGCAGAGGGTGCGTAGTCATCATTATCATCATGACTGTTGGTGATGCAGAGGATGCATAATGATGGTTATCATCGATGATGGCCACGGCTCTGATGAGGATCCTTATCTTTTTCATATACGATTCAAAAGTCCCGTTAGAGCCGATTGGAGATGCAGAGGGTGCGTAGTCATCATTATCATCATGACTGTTGGTGATGCAAAGGATGCATAATGATGGTTATCATCGATGATGATAACCGTGATGATGACGATGATGGGCCACGGCTATGATGAGGATCCTTATCTTTTTCATGTACGATTCAAAAGTCCCGTTAGAGCCGATTGGAGATGCAGAGGGTGCGTAGTCATCATTATCATCATGACTGTTGGTGATGCAGAGGATGCACAATGATGGTTATCATCGATGATGATAA